CCGAACGAATTGCAACCAATCGTCTGGAATGATCTTTACAAGCTCCTGGTGATAGGAGGGATTGAATCTGGCAGCAAGAACCACAACTGCGCTTCAAAATCTCTCAATCACTGACCCAGCTACGGCTCTCGCGGCATAGTCGCGGGCGCGGCCGCGGACGCAACAATGCTGGTCGCGGCCGGTCATCCAACCGTTCCAGGACCGAACAGAGGAAGAACGCCTCAAAACAACTTAGCTGTCAAATTTGTTCTAAGGATTAGGGACATTCAGCATCAAAAGCTGTATGTCTCATTGACCAATTCTACACGGAAGACACACCAAGACTGCGGCTACTTCACTTCCATCCGGACTAACAACCACCTCAAGACTGGGTTTCTTGATAGCGGCGCGTCGAACACCTCACGTCCGAAATATCAACCTCGATCCAGCAACAGTACTCAGGAAATCAGGCAATCACTTGGAAATGGCTATCAACTTCCTATTCAAAATTCTGGCAAGGTATGCTTACCAACCCAAGGTCTCTCTATCTCCCAAAAAACTTCTAACGTTCAGAATTCTTTATTTTTAATTTATGTCTTTAATTCTATCTATGCTATGATCGACTAACAAATGACACAAGTGCACAGTAAGTTTTCGTAATGGTTCTGCATTCAGGACTTCGGAAGACGGGTCAAATTTCTACTTCGGGGCCTATGTTTAACGGTCTCTACCCCATCCGTCACGCCTACCACAGCTAACTTTTCTCTTTTTCAGCTCAGAAGTCCATAATCTTTTGCCATAGGCGTCTTTGGTCACAGCGGCCCTTCAGACGTTGCAAACAGCATAGGACACTATGATCTGCCATTTGTAAACTCTGTACCAAAACCATCATTGATTAACGCCTGTAGTGTGGCCAAGAGCCGCCGAGTTACCCTTTACTTCTCTAAATCAGATTACTTCTCATTGCTTTCGATCTTGTTCACTCAGACATCTGGGGGCCTTCCCGCGCTACCTCCATGCAAGGCTATAAGATAGTTACGTTTGCTTTTATGATGATACTCGAAATTTTCTTGGATTTTTCTTTATTCACAAGTCAGATGTTTTCACCACGTTTTATTACTTTTTAACAAATGCATCAATAACTCAATTTAAACAATCTATAAAATTTCCATCGATGTGGAGGAGTTCATCAATAGTAAGTCCAATCCAATTATCAAGAATCTTGGTCTTCATCAGTACTCTCTTTCACGCGCGTCAAAACTGTAGTTGTGAAAGCCTCCAAGTTGAACTGCGCACAATCCTACTTTTGACGCCAACCTTCAGTCAACTTGGTTGAAGCCAGGGATGACGGCTCGGTTTATAATCATAGTACTTACCAGTCAGAGCTTCTTCAGACGACGTCCTTACAATATCTATACCAAAAACCGCCAGCCTAAATCAATTCAAGATCTTTGGTGTCTCTGCTACCCATTGGCCCACCCTACAGCACATCCAAAGCTCTCACCGTTTCCTCCGTTGATTTCTTTATAGGCATATGCACGGTCAAAAAGGGTACTGCTGCCTCGATCCAAAACAGGCAAAGTCTACATATCCAGCTGATGTTCTAATGAGGCTATTTTCCTACATTCAACCTACATCTCAGCTCCAAAAACTCCTCAAAACACTTTGTCCACCCCCCTCCTGTACCCTACCACACATAACACCACTCCCACCTCTCGTCAACCAGCCACACTCAGCCTCGGCAATCTTGCTGTTACTCCTCCGGTTCCGTCACTCACATCGACATACCACATCGACATTCAATCAAAGACCTCGATCAAATTTCGCTTACCTATCCCAATACTACTCCATTCCAAACGCTTAACCTCAATCTCAATCTACACACTTATGCACTGATACCAAAACAGGCATTTCAAAGCCGAAGCGTTTTCTCTCTCGAACCCATATCTATCAAGGACTCGATCAACAAAGTACGTGAGCTGCGATAGCTCAGCACTGGCTCAAGGAGATGTCAAGTTGATTCACGTCTTTCATCCCAAATCATGGAGACTTGGTTCCTCCCGAACAACCAAAATGTGCTAGGGTGTAAGTGACCTTACCCGCACCAATACACGCTGATGATCGTGACGTCCAAGCGCCGCCTTGTGGCTCAAGTTTCTCCCAAGAAATATGCCTGACACGCTGAAACATTCAGGCCCCGTGCCAAATGCCAAACGTCCGGATCTTAATATAGACCATAGCAATGTATCGTCAATGGCCGCTCCATCAACTCGATGTGTCAAATGCCTCATCACGACACATTCAGTCAATACGTTTAGATTGAAACATCTGTGATACGACAAAAACTTTCACGAATCTATGTTCATGCGATTGCGAAAGTACTTTACGAGGTTAAAACTCGTCTCGCGTGAGTGGTTCGCCACTCTATCCGTTACCTCAGACTCTTGGCTTCAATTTCAATGATCTGGATCCATCACCGCATCATCTACAACCGAAACGCATACCAAATGTTCTTCCTCGTTTACGTAGATGACATACTTCCTTCGGCAACAGTAACTTGACATTCAGAAGCTGCTGCGCAATCTTCAAAATAAATTCACTATGCGGATCTCGGCTCCATCTCTCAATTCCTGGGCATCATGCGGTACTCTACTCATACGGGCTTCATCTTAACGCAAACCAATTCGCTCAGTCCATACTATCCCGCGCAGTATGTTAACTGTTAACCCGTTTCTACTCCTCGCAAATACAAACATTCTCCTCGTCAATTCGTCCGATGCATTTTCTAACCCAACTCTTTACCGTCACTGTCGATGTCTTCAATATCTCCTCTCACACGACCGGACATCGCCTACGCGTCAAAAGATTTGTCCGCATATGCAAAGTCCAACAAATTACATTTCGAAGCTCTAAAAGATTACTCCGGTATATTCAAGGATCCCTTCATACAGATCTGTCCAATATTCCGAGATGCACCGATCCTTCAATCCTACGCGGACTCAGACTGGCAGGGAGTGGCCGACGACCGAAAATCAATTTTCGGGTACTGTACTTCCTCGGATCACTCTGATATCCTGGAGCGTCAAGAAACAGAACGCAGTTGCCGTCATCCACAGAAGCTGAGTACAGGGCACTTGCCTCCGCGGCAGCCGAAATTACTGGATTCGTCGGCTACTACAGGAATTGAATTGCTCCGGACTACCGCCACTCCCCTCTTCTGCAGACACGTTTCGGCTATAGCTCTGCTAACAACCCGCTGTTTCTGCACGAACGAAACACATTGAAGTCGACTGTCACTATATCAGCATTGCATCAAGAACGACACTATTCGAGTTCATCATATGTCCACCAAAGATCAAATCGCGGATCTCTCACAAAAGCGCTTCCTCTCACGATTTAAGCTTCTCGCCGGCAAGCTGGTTCAACCCTTGGACTCACCATCTTGGGGGATATTAGAGATGCCATATATATAAATAGTTTCACTTTACACTGTAATATTGTAATTGGTTATTTTGTCTAGCTCTGCTATTTATAGAGCTCTGTAACTTCTGATATCTAATAACATAGTTTTACTTCTTCTTCTTTTCTCTTCTTGTCCTTTCTTTCATTCTTATTTCGGTTCTATCATGTCGAAGCTTTCATCTAGGATTCACAATTCCAACATTTCTATTATGTTGCCAAGCAAACATGCCACTTCAAAAGTCTATGTCAAATATTGGTATTATTTCCTATACCCGTTTTTTCAACATCTATGCGGAACCAATAACGGTAGCGTTAGTGTTTAAATAATTACACTCGAGCCAAAATAAGGTTTTGGCAAGATAAAAATATTAAGGTTGACCGCTTTTCCAATCAGATTACTTCTCACTTGAGGAAAAAAATAGGGTTCAAGGTTCGAAACATCCGCGATAGCATCCGACATCCACTAACTGAACGAAAATTAAAAATAAAAATAGAATTTAAAGGCCAGGATAATCAAAGGAGCTCACATGAGGGTTTGTGTATGGTGGTGCGCCTGAAGAATACGGTAGATTCAGGAAACCTTTTCCTCCACCTTGGAGTGCTCCAACTGCGTTACTGTAAACGTTATCTGCTGGTGATCGCGGTCAGGTGAGAGGAGAGGAGCGCGAAGAACACCCAGAGGATGCGTTAGATGACGAGTCGATGGGAGAAGACTCCATGGATATTGGATTCAAGTGATGGAGTGACGAAATGGACCTTTTATTCCTTCTTGCGGTGGCTTCTGAATACGGTGGAAGAGGCGGAGGTGAATGTCAGTGGGGATTGAAGCATGTATATATTTTGGTAATTTTCCTATATTATTAACTATTATTATTTATTATTATTTCTTAAATTATTTTATATATTATTGAAACTATTTTTAATTTACTATTTTATTACATAAAATTAAATTTAATGCAATGTTGTGCTGAGGCAATAAATTCATTATCATCCTTCTTGCACTTAAATGTCAACTTATTGAGTTGCTATCTTGTTTATAAATTTTTTCATTAAAGCATTCAAATTTTTTTAGAATTGGAATACTTTGAAGGTTGAAGGTGAAAAACTATATATGTAATTATTTATACGATGAATTTCTATATGAAAAAAATTAATTTTGAGAAAATGTATAATTATCAAAAAAATAGTAAAATATAAGAAGAGTTTCAAATTTTTCGATAAATTGAAATATGCTATGTGGCATCTTCTTAAAGAATACAACGTTCTTTAAATCAATTTTCTAATATTATTTGTTTTTTTTTCTAAGTAACAAACATTTTTTCGGTTAAATTTTAAAATTTTGAGAATCCGAAAATTTGAGGACCTTAATTAATTATTTCTTTAATAGTGAACTCGAGTTAAATGTATTGGTTGAGACGAATCACAAGCAAAATCTGTAAAATTATATATATTATATATATATATATATATATATATATATATATATATATATATATATATATATTATATATATATTAAATTGGTTTTAAAATCACTGTATTCGTGTAGTCCGAAGGAAGAGATACATGGGGCTGCACGCGTATAATTTCTCACGTTTCGGAAATCGTTTCTAGGGCTTCCTTGTTTCCTATATCGGGCAAAGGTAACTTCGACTCGTAAGAAGGTGCTTGGTGTTTGTTCTTGGCTGAGGGACCCTCTCATCTGCGGCTATGGCGGGCGGGAACTTCCTCGGCCGAATAATCGGTTACGTCGTCAATGAATTGGTCGTTGAAGGCCTTGCCAACAAGTAATTTTGTTGCTGCTTAACATATTTATAAACATTTTGTTCTTCTGATTTCACAGTGAGAAGCGTGATTTTGCTTCAAACATGAATTTCTAGCTTCTTCACAGATTGATTGAAGTTTATGGTATGGTTGCTGAAGCTAGATGGTGTTACATGTCTCCTTTTTTTTTTCTTTTTGACTTATTTCCTTGAAGCAAATACTTCTTTTTTATTTCTTTGAAGTAATGAATTTCGGACTGATGAATTTGTTTGTTAGCTTCTCCGTTCCACTTCGCCTGCATTATTATAAACGAAGCCTAAATGCTTCACTTTTTCTTGTTGATATTAATGATAGCTTTTCCTTCCCCTCAACTGTTCCTTTGTCTTTCTAGTGCAATGATATTAGGGCTTATAGCTGTAGGGACTGTTTGGTGGCCTAATGTATGCATGATTTAACATATATCATGCCCAACAGTCTTTTTGGACAAAATAAATCTACTATTATTTAAGTCTTGTTTCAACCCCTTTTTGCTGTAAATTTTAGATTTACGAAAATCTAGATTTTGGCATATTTTCTTGATTTAGCATTAAAGGGAGAGAAAGATCGAGCGTTACCTTAAGAGGGATCAGAAAAAGTGTGGCGGCAAAGAATAAGTGGATTCGATCTGGCAATCACTAAGGAGAGTAAGAAGCTTTTCAACCTATTCTGTTGGAGCTAGTAGGAAGAAGAGCAGAAGATGTTGATGGAGGAGTTGTCTAAGGAGGCAAACAAGCTTCTCTGGGATGAGTGACTACTAGGGATTCTGCTTCTTAAAGGAATTGATCGATGATGCCTTCCAGTCTTATTTCAATATTAAATTAGTTTAATAATGTACTAATCAGATTTAATCAAAATATCATTTAAGTTAAGTTTGAATGCACACCAGGAGAGTAACTTTTTTTTTCATAATCAATAATTATTGTTAAAATCCTATTTTATTATTAAACTTTAATCATGAAATAAGTAGCCCAATAGTTGAAAATGATTTAACCTTTAGCATGCCATATAGTTTTTAGGATTTAATTTCCAAAGGATTTATTAAATTTTGATTTATAGGATTTACTAAATCCTACTCCTAACCAAAGAACACTGTACAATATTTTTCGCCAAGCTTTGCTTAATATAGTTAGCAAGCTATATCTCATGCCTGGCTGACTTTTTCTCTTGAAATTATAGATAATTCTGAGTCTACTCCAATATTGCCCTCCATTAAAGTAGCATGATTTTTTTTGTCTGCATGCTTTGTTAGGGGCTATTTGTTTGCCAAGTTCAACTAGGATTTATGCCTTCCAGATGGTTGAAATGAAAAAAAAAATCCGATGACTTTTAAATCCCATTTCACCCCATTTTGTTGTAAATCCTGGATTTTTCAACTTGCTATTTGGCTGCAAATAGGATTTAACTCGCATAGGATTTAGTAAATCCTATAAACTTATCCTTGAAGTAGTTAAATACTGAAAATTATTTAGCATGATAGTGGTTAATTGTTAAATCCTAACAACTTGTTTGACAATTTATTTTTGGATTGAAATATATTAAATCAAGTAAGATTTAAATAAGAATACTTGATGAGTTATTTTAAATATGTTATACAAGTACAATAATGAGTCGTGATAAATAAGCTATTTATCAGTGAGAGCATGTAAATATTTAAGAGTAAAAAAAAAGACATTCTTCTATTGCCTCAAAAATATGATGTAAATTATCAGGTTGAGAGATGCCTTTCACTAATTTTCTATGATGAAAGGAATGCATTAGTAAATTTTAGATTGCAAATAAATTATTTTGAAATTAATGAAGTTAAAATTTTAAGTATGCATCCCACATGTTAATGGTAGTTAAATGTCTCATAGCATCTCCTTGAATTTTAATTTTCTCCCAAGTCGCTACAGGCATGTTGAGGTCTTCATTATTGACTTTCATCTTACCCAACTTATTATCATATTATATTTTAATTTGAGTCATGTTAAAATATTGATAATTTCCATGATAACTACCAATGAAATTATGCAATACTGCACAAGTAATTACAATATTAGCCATGACACTCAAGATGAATTGTCTGCATATGAGTTAGCACTTAAAAATCTCTCTTTCCAAATGCCAAAAGTTCTATTCATTATATTGCCTAGTTGGGCTCGACGATGGTTAAGTCTCCAGTGTCACAGAGTATGTACGAGATGAGCCTACATGACATTTACTTAAATGATATTGATATCCTCTAATGGGCATCATAAGTTTATCCTTGTCATCATATCCCCAGTCAATCAAGTAATATTTTTTTGTGGGTACCTGTAATGCTCACTTCATTGATCATCGTTGTACTTTCATATGTATTATGGATTCATCTCAATTAGAAGCTTGGTTTAAAAAATCATTTAAGGCATGCCTTAAATTGAGGCATATAAGGAGTGCCTCATGGCTAAAGCCTCACTAGCTTCAATGAGGCTTAGTTGTCATTTAGCTCAAGTTCAAATTCATTTAAATTCTGTTCATCGTCTTTTTCTTGAGTTCAAATTTTGTACAAATTCGGTTTAAGTTCAATTCTTCATTTGCTTAAGTCCAGGTCCCCTGTTCAGTGTAACTTTTGGCAGCCTCCCAACGTCTCCTCCATTTAGGGGAAAACTACAGGAGTTTGGGTCTCCCACTACGCTCAAGAAAAACGTGTACAGTAGGTGTCGGATGACACCGCGGCTATAAAATCTTCAATTCCACCATGCTAAAGATAGGCGTGTATGGGTCTTCAGTACCTGTTTGAAATGCACGGTTGTTTCTCCGTAGGCATTGAAGCATCTACGCGTACTTATATTCGTCCCCGGTAAACTAGAGAAAAGCATGTACAGGGCCTACCCGCCTTGCCGTAAACATTGAACCGGGTTCCCTTCCCACCATGTTAGTGAAAAGCATGTATGGGCGTTTTTTCGGCTCAACATGAATGTCGAAAGCGTTTTTTTTTAGTTTAGGGAGTTTTACCTGTGAATGGCCGTCGGGCTCAAGAGGTTTTGGCTATAGGAGGGAGTGGAGTCGGGCTCAAGGGTTTCGGCTACAGGCAATGGGATCAGAGGTTAAAATGCAATTGGATCTGAGGGATGCAACTCGATGTGGCTTCAGCAAGGGTAGTTCGGTCCAACAAGGTAATTGGCTTCGTGTGTTTTGCAGCTAGTATAGTGATCAAAGGCGTTGCAGGAGAGATAGGCATGATCAGGGGTTCAGTCGTTCGTCGGCATGCAGGTGGGGTGAGGTCAGAGGAAGATGGAAAGGGGAAGAAAAAGGTTGGAATTTGAAGGAGACTTGGTTCTGTTAGAGGAGGAGAAGAGACCAACTGGATCTCTTCACAGAAAGGTGTCCGGAGCTTGCGACAAGGAAGGGATTGAGGCTTTTGCATGGGATTCGGCTTCAACAGGCGTCAGAAGCAGCGACAGGTGGTCTCGGCAACAATGATTCAAATGGAAGTTTGGATTGTGAGAGATGGGTTGGAGCATAGCTCTGGAAGGATAGGACTTGTGGTCGTGGTTTGAAGGTCGGAGGAAGCAGAAGTTTTGGTCGAGGGATTGGAGCAGGGGATATTGAAAGCAACGACGGGAGCTTGCGGTTAGGGGAGAGGAAGAGAACGATGGAAGGGCTCAGACACTTCTTTGTTTTATCACTAAGAGAAGCGACAATTGAGGCTCATTGTGGGAATCTCAGACGAGACGTGAGCGGCGCCGAGCTACAGGTATTTTGTTGGATCTTTGCTTGTTTTCCAGTAGGATTCATGCTGGATTTTGGTGCGTAGGTTAGCACTTACAACCAAGAAAGAAAAATTTAGTAATGTGGATGATTGGTAAGAACGTGTTCAATTCAAATATGAAGTATTTCTCCATTTCATGTCATAAGTGTGATTTTTTTGCTATTATTTTTTTTTTATTATTTGTGAACTTTAATAATAGCCTAGTTGGATATGTTTTTAATGCCACATAGCTTTGTTAGCTAGTCACTAATTGCTTTTTTGACTATTGGCAATATCACATCATAATTTATTCTTTAATATATCATTTATTATATTCATATAAAGAAATTGCTTCATAATCAATTTCTCAAAAACAATATTATATTGCTCATGTCATTTGGGTATTGAGCTCTTTACTTGGCTCCTATGCACAAACAAAGACACGACAACACAAATACGACATGACATGGACATGAGACACATTAATTATAAAAAAAAATTGGAATAGACACGGGTTGGACATAATATTGTAATTTTTATATTTTAAATATAAAAATTCAATAAGTAAAATAGTAAGAATAATTGAGAAATAATAAGTATTTTAACTAGGATTTGTGTTTAAAATGTTTAATATTAGGATGTTGAGAGCGGGCATCGATGTCTTGTAGGCATCATGAGGGGAGACGACATGCTCTTGACATTCGGACGTTATTATTGTGTAATGGGCATCAAATATTGATGTCAAGACGACATTAATCGTCAATCTCGAGATGACGTCAATCGTCGATGTTAAGAAGACATTGGACAAATATGAGATGTCGAGAAGGCACAGGAGCGTAATTGTGGGTGTTGAAATTGCTGGCATCAAGCATCAATGTGAACACAACATCATACTTTGATGTTGAGATAGTTTTAAAATATTGATGTTGTGATGGTATTCGATGTCAATGTTAAGATGATATCGAGCATTGTTGTGAAACCCTAGTCGTAACCTATCAGAGAGAAATGAAAATGGGAATGTTTAGGGAATGAGGTATATAGTGCGGGCGATTGATTTAGGGATTTGGGGAGAAAGTAAGAAATTTAATTTTTATTTTTATTAAATACAATTTTGAGATACAATAAATTATATTTAAATTTTTTTTCATAAAATATTTTAGACGTGTGTCAGGCACGTCTGTCCAACTTATTTTTCATATTTTTTTAACCAGACATGCATTCACATGTCTAACACATATTGGTGGTGTGTCAGATTCGTGTTGTGTTCGATACATGTCGAACACTGCATACTTTTTGGAAAAGTGTTGGTTCATCGTAGCTTGGCTCATATGGATCAGCATGTCCTCATTAGCAACAGACTGTGAATTGGAATTCTCATAGTGTATTGACTTTTCTTTGAGAATCTCTTCATCTCTATAGTTTAAATAATTCATTCACATTGCAATTCACTGAATAATTGAAATCATATATTAGCAACTTCTAATAATATATTCAAATACTAGTAGCTATTAAATATAATAATGAATTATCCTATATTTTATTAAAATAATGGCTAACAATATACAATTAATGAGCAATTAAAATTTTTTATCACTTGGTTGAAATCTTACTAGTACGTTTATAGTTGATCCTTGTGGTAGGTAGTTGATATCTATTGATTCTTGATCAATGACATGCTTTGTATGCCCCTCCTTATATGCATGACCATTAATTAGTACTGTTCATTCATTTTTACTCATTGAATATTTGACTTTAATTTATTTTCTCCTTTGTGTTATCAATTAATTTTGTTGAACAATTCAAATGAATTCTTTAAGTTCAATTGAAATGCCAAAGCTTACAGTAATTTTTGGATCACTCATTTTCAATTTTTCCTAATTTTAACGTTGACATATCTTTAACATAATTTTGTCATAAATATTCTTTTTCATCCACTAAACACCCTAAAAAACTACTATTAGAAAGTGAGTGAATTTTTCTCGATAAAAGGAAAATAAAATAAAAAATTAGAACTAAAAACTACTTTAGGTCTAATTTAGTGCAATTCCTTTGAATATCTATAGCAAATCTTCAATGTAACGACTCCTAATAATGGATAGATATATCAAAACATTGTTAAAGTGAAATAATATGTTATTTTTGAAAGCCTAGATCACCATACTTTTACAAATTAAAATGTAGATCACCAAACCAAGTAATATAAAGCCTTAGGACATGTCTTGTATGTCTTTATAGTATAAGGAATATATAACAACAACAACAACATCAAGCATTTGTCCCACTACGTGGGGTTGGCTACATGAATCCTTTTTCTCCATTGTTTTATTAAAAGTCAAATTCTTATTTAAATCTAATAACGAAAGATCATATCTAATATTTTCTAACCAAATCTTTTTAGATCTACCCCTCTACCTTTTTTAACATAAGTCAAATCTAATACATCTACTTTCCTAACCGAGTCATCGGAAGGCCGTCGTTTTATGTGACCGACTCTCTCTAATCTTATCTTCCACTAGAGCTACTCCAATTTTTTCACATATATGCACATTTTGTATCCTATCTCTAAGGATAAAGCTACTCATCCACCTTAGCATCCTCATATCTGCAACACTTAACTTAGTATTATGTTTCTCTTTTAATGGCCAACATGCGGCATCATAAAGCATCGCTGGTCTCACCACCATCTTATTGCATTTTCCCTTAAGTTTGAGGGGGACTTTTCTATCACACAACAAACCCGATGCATTCCTCCACTTCAACCATCCAACTTGAATTCTGCTGATAATATCCCCATCTATTTCACCATCAACCTGAACAATAGATCCAAGATATCTAAAATGTGTACTCTTATTAATTACTTGATTGTCCAAAATCACAATCCCTCACTAAGTGTATTACTACTAAAATTACACTCCATATATTCAGTTTTAGATCTACTCAAATAAAAACCTTCAGACACTAAGGTTAACCTCCATAATTCAAATTTATCTTCAACTCCCTCTCTAGTCTTATCAACAAGAAGAATATCATCAGCAAAAAGCATACACCAAGGTACATCTTCTTGCAAATGTCTAGTGAGAACATCCATGACTAAAACAAAAAGATAAGGGCTTAAGGCTTATCCCTGATATAATCCAACCGAAATAAAAATATACTTGGTGAAACCACCTTGTGTTTGAACACAAGTAATGTATAAGGAATATCATAGAAGGAAATTCATTTGTGTTGTTTGACAGAGTGATTGACATCACAAAGGAGAAAATCAAACAATATCAAATATTCAAGAAGTGAAAATAATGGAATAGTATTTACTGATAGTCATACACAGCAAGAGAGACATAATGAACATGTGATTGATAATGAATTAATAAATATTAATTATTTTTCATTTGGATGCTATGTTTCAAGTAAACATGTCTTATTGTTGCCTCCCACATCAAATTGAATGCTATGTTTTCAAACTAGGTCCTTATGACCCGACGTGATTTTTTATTGCATCTAATTCTTTTATACAAAACCCTAAAATAAAAAGTTAACACAACAACAACATCAAGCCTTTATCCCACTATTTATGAATCCTTTTTCTCCATTGTGTATTTTTAAGAGTCAAATTCTCATTTAAATCCAATAAAAATGGTCATTTCTAATATTTTCTAACCAAGGTTTTTTTTTTATATATACCTCTACCTTTCTTAATATAGACCAAATCAATACATCTCTCCTAATCAGGTCATCGGAAGGTCGACGTTTTATTTGACCATATCATCTATGGCGACTCTCTCTAATCTTATTTGCCACTGCAGCTATTCCAACATTTTCGCGTATATGCTTGTTTTGCATTTTTCCTCTAAGAGTAAAGCCACTCATCCACTCGAGCATCCTCATCTTTGCAACACTTAATTTATTCTTCAATTTTAATGGCCCATGTTCTGATCCATAAAGTATTATAGGTCTCACCACCATCTTATAGAATTTTCCCTTAAGTTTGAGTGGTACTTTTCTTTTACACAATAGGCATGATGCATTCCTCTACTTTAATCATCAAATTTGAATTCTACTAATAACATCCTCATCTATTTCACCATCACTGAATATTAAATCCGAGATATCTAAAAGGTGTACTCTTATTAATGACTTGATCACCCAAAGTCACAATACCTCCACTAGATCTATTACTATTAAAATTACAATCCATGTATTCAGTTTTAGATCTGCTCAAACAAAAACTTTTAGACTCTAAGATTGATCTCCATAATTCAAGTTTACCTCAACTCCCTCTCTAGTCTTATCAGCAAGAAGAATATCATCAACAAAAAGCATACACTATGGTACATTATATTGCAATTGTCTAGTAAGAACATCCATGACTAAAGAAAAAATATATGGGCTTAAAGCTAATCCTTGATGTAATTCAACTGAAATAGGAAAATACTTGGTCAAACCACCTTTTGTTTGAACACAAGTAATAGCTCATGCATACATGTCCTTAATGACTTGAGTATAAGTATTATTAGCCCATTTCTTTAACAATTTAAGAATAATAAAATATTCAAACAATCATTATATTGCAATTGTCTAGTAAGAACATCCATAACTAAAGAAAAAATATATGGGCTTAAAGCTAATCCTTGATGTAATTCAACTGATATAGGAAAATACTTGTTCAAACCATCTTTTGTTTGAACACAAGAAATAGCTCTTGCATGCATGTCCTTAAGCCCTTTCTTTAACAAGTTAAGAATAATAAAATATTCAAACAATCTAACGACCAAAGTTAGTGATGTTAACTTGTAAATTAAATGGAGTTATTCAAATAAAAAAATAGGATTTCAAAAATTTCTAGAAAAAATTTTGAAAGTAAGTGGAAGAATACTTGACTAACTTTGAAATAGTTTGAACAAAGTTGGATAATAGGATAAGGAGGAGGTGGTTGCGGTGTTAGGCTCCCAAGGGTTCGTTGTTGGTGGCAGAAGAGGGCTGGCAATAGAGACAATTCACGTATGGATGGAAAGTTTGGAATGTTGCTTTGGCCTTGACTCGAGTGTGCGTCTGACTAGATTGGATTAGGTTTAATATTATTATTTTTTAATTAAAAAAATTTGTAGGTCGGAGGCGTTCGCCTTAAAGGTGGAGAGGCTTGCCTCAGCCTAAATGGAGGTTTATTCCTCAAAAAGACTACTTGAGGCGTGCGTCTCAAGGCGTTGTTTTCCATAATTGTGCTTAGGTGCGCCTTGCATTGCACAATTTTAAATCCTACTTGAGTTAATGAACTTAAATTTTGAAATAAGTTGCCAAGCAATTTGCCAGGATTTAACTAAATTTAACCATCGGCATGCCAAATAATTATCAGGATTTAACTGCCTCAATCTTTAATAAATTTGGATGCACGGGGTTTATTTAAATGTTACTTGAACTAAATCCTACTTGTAGCCTAAAAGCCCCGTAATGCAAGTTGCCAAGCAATTTGTCAGGATTTAACTAAATTTAACCATTGGCATGCCAAACAATTTGTAGGATTTGTCTGCCTCAATATTTGGTAAATTCGGATACACGGGGTTTACTAAATGTTACTTGAATTAAATACTACTTGTAGCCTTAAAGGCCCCTAATGTACTTTATTATCATATAAGAGGCTTTTTTGTTGTGACTTTTGCATGGTTGATTTGTGTTATATGCTTATATTGATAAATGTGACGATTGTGTATGGCGTGCTTATCTCATCTTGATGACTTTTCTTGGCCGTCTTTCTCCTTATTTATTTTTACTACAGAATCATGTTAATAAATTGTTTGTAAGGACCGCAATGATGACTCTCTAAAAACCTGTAATGATTTTTTCAGCAATGATCACATATTTTATAGGACATCCAAGGGGCTGAGTTGCTCTGGCATTTGTCTAATTCCAATTTGCAATTGTTCATACCGCTTTTTTAACTAATTTTGTTTTTCATTTAATGAATTCGCCTTGTTTCTTTCTCCTTTGGAAAACCCCAACTAGGTGGGATAAGGCTAATATGAAGATCATAACTTTATTTATTTATAAATAAAAGGAACATTTTTCCCATGTAAATCTGTGATGGTTTAAGGGCCATTCCCTTGTGAAATTGATCGAATCTGCCCGGCTTTCACTCTTTATATGTGTTCTATTAGTTTTCAATGTTGTTTTAATATTAATTTCTTACAACTGCTTCAGTGAGCATTCATTAATGGCCAGGTGTGTTGAGTATCCCTGGACCAAGTGCACTAGAAGCTATATGAATAGTTCCCCTCGCTATCCATTCTGGACTTCTATTTTCATGCATTGGACGTTGGGGCGCAACATTATTTATATCAAGTGCTGGGTTTTTCCATGTATTCTATCGTGCCATTTTAGTTTAACTATTTGACTAGGAACAAATTTATGCATTTTTCTCGTTTGTTTTAGCTTTAATTATTTTCCTTCCGAATTATATCTGGATTATCTATCAGTCTTTTATTTATGGGTGCTGTTTGAACATTGTACTGAATGAATCCAACCTTGTTGTAGAATAGAGCCCTGCATTGGGTACCCATACCCACACCCACCCATGTACCCACCCATACCCAATGGGTATGGGTGAGTATGGGTATGCCCATGACCTTATGGGTCGGTACTCAACATCGGGGGATAAATCGATTTACGTTGTTAATCACTGTATATCTTATATTACTGCAATCCTCACTATGTAGTGTGCAGCACATAACCATGCTGCGATTACAGTAAATTCTAATATGCGGCTTGAAAGTTTGTAATCAGAGCAAAGGGCAATAAACATCAAGGCTATCAATCTGTGGCAGATTGCGTTCAAAAAGCATGGAAAGTGGGTGGGTATAGGTATGTACGACATCCCAAAAGTCACCATGTGGGTGGGCGTGGGTGGGCGAAGCCCGTCCGAGTAAAGCATGGGTGCCTAATGGGTACCCAACCAGGACCCCATATGTAGGGCTTTGTTGTGGAATCTAACAACATTGTTTAAGTGTACTCTTTTGTAAATTTTAGGTTATTACTTTGTTTAGATTTTTCAATAATCATGCCATATTTGATTGTGTTTTTTTTTTTTTTTTTTTTTTTTTTTTTTTTTTTTTTTTTTTTTTTTTTTTTTTTTTTCCTTTTTGTCTTGTTTTTATTTTGTTTCTATTTTATTTTTGATTCATTTCAACAATGCTCAAATATGTTTGGGTGTGTATTTGTTTCTTGTTTTCTTGTGTTTTGAAAATAATTGAAAGCATCAAAATTCTTGGAAGCACGCTAAAATGTTTCCGAAAACAAAATATACAAAAGCAACTCACAATACATGCGAGTTGTTTTTTGAACACCCCACCCCCCAAAAAAGAAAAAAATAGGAAACAAAAACAAGCTAAACTGTCTTGCATTTGAGAAATTGCTTAGCAGATAACAAATAATACAAAATTAATTAAACATCTGATGATTCTATTTTTTCCTGCTTTGAGCAGCCCAACATTTCAAAGATTTGCTGTGAGGACATCAAAAACATTGCAGGATTTGTCCATTAAAGGTACATTTTTTGGTCATTGTAATTAGAAAACATAACATTTAGATGACCCGATGAGAAAGAGTAGTGAACCAAGTTTAATTTGCTGTGCTGCTACCTCCTTGCAGCTGAGCAGACAAAGCAAGAAGTAGCAGAACAAATCAAGGAAGCTTCAAGAAACTTTGATGTAAGTTCTCTTGGTCATATGACCAACTAGTAATTCCGAATAATTCCTTCCATGGATTTGATCTTTTACAATATGTCGTCTTTTCGTTTGTGTTATCAGGCCTTCAAGAGACAATGATGACATACGAAATCTCATGCTGCTTATCAACTTCTCTCTCAAGAGGCTAATCAAGCAAGTAGGAGGTATTATTAGGATGACGCATCTCGCTTTCCTGGTGCTGTCTTGATCTTGATTGATGTTTTAATACATTTGAAAAGTTCCAAAACCTTGTCAATGTTAGTTTCTTGGTTGCATTGTAAATCAAATTTCTGTGTTTTATGAAGAATCTGTGCACTGATAAATAATAAAATATTTCGTTTTTTTAGTTTAAATGTTAGTTTCTTGCTTCTAAGTTTATTAAACTTCTTGTAAGGCCTGTTATGTATTTGAGTTTTTAGTGTAGAGTTTTAGTTGATTCATGTTTTCTACTTCGACTTTGGTCAGTACAGATTCCAAGTATTAACATTTTCTTACTAACATTTAATAGCTTAATAAATATCTTAATAAATATTCAACTATAGTAAATACGTGGATAAGGTTATGAAAGTTATCCTAATATGGATAATGTTCCAGTGTAGCTAGCCAACTGTGATGGGTTTCAAGTTACCCTATCCTAGACATGAGTGTGTTTTCAAGTGCTCATGCAAATATTCAAGCTTAGCTAAGCTGTTGAAAGCTAACCAATATACAAATTGGTTTTAGGTGTTCCACATCAATATTATCTATTCATTATCTCCACAAATCTCTCTCAAGTTTTTTGTTGTGTTACATCTTAATATGTTCTTTATGACAATTATTAATAGGATGATGAACATAAATTAGAGAGAATGAAAAAGAAAACTTATGTGGGAGTCACTAGGCCATGATAAAGCTGTGCTGCAATGTTATATTAGGCCGTGAACTATCTTGTCTCACCTCAAGGTCACTGCAGATTGGGGATGGTACTTACATATACCACCCAACTTCTATTTGTTATTTACATGGTTTTATTTTGCCGATACCTTCAGGAGATTGTCTACACATCCGTGGGTTCTTTGATATTCTAATCACGTATCAAGAAGTTCAGGTTGATCATCTCTTATGAGTTGCCCTGTTGCAACAGTAGTGTGTAGAATGAGAAATTATATTGTGAATATTTCGGACGGGAAGAACCGTTTGCTGTGTATTTGTTGAGTATTTGTAAATACACAGTAAATATGCAACAAATCAACAAAAACTAAAAAAATACTCAGCAAAAACTAGCAATAGAGCATTTGCTGAGTATTTATAAATACATCGCAAATTTAAATGATTCTCTTCTTCCGGACTCCGTACAAAATAATTTCTCGTGTAAAACACACTCGCATAGGCACAACTTGGCCATCTTGTTTCTCTTAACGAGTAGGAAATTGTATAAGCTCATGATGATTTTTTTTAAACATTAGCTATGGAAAGGAACACCTTTCTTGTAGCATGAGATTTGGAATTCTTGTAATTAATTAGTATTCAATGGTTGCCAAATTTTTCTGAGGACAGTAGCATTTGTTAGGACTCGTTGGGTTGGGGAGTATTTTACCTTATGCTTTATTTCTCATAAGATATCTCTAATTTAACATTTAGGGCATGTTGGAAACACTTGTATTTTATTATCATTATTTTTATTTTAAAAAAAAACTTTGCGTGTTTTTAACTTTATTTTCTTATTATTATAATATAAATATACTTATTTTTAAAAATGGTCAAAATAATTTTTAAGAGTTTTGAGTATTTTTAAAAAAAATTTTTGTCATCAATTGTTATAATTAAGGAACTTTTTAGTATATTAAAATTTTTAATATTATTTTGAAGACAAAGATGTAAGATGAGTGGACTGTATTGGTTCTTATTTTTAAGAATAAAGGTGATACATGAGTGCATTAAAATTATGTGACAGTAATTGAGCATAGGTTATAATGCAATATTAATATTTTTTCAAAATCAGTTTGAATTCATGGCAAGTATGTCTATTATGGAAGATATAAATTTGTTTAGAGGTTTGATGGAGAAGTATAGAGAGAGCAAGCAGGATTTTCATACGATATTTATTAACTTAGAAACATCATATGATAAAGTTCTAAGAGAAGTGTTTTGGAGAGTTCTAGAAAAAAAAATAGAGTTTAGTAATGTTAGGGGTGTTAAAAAGAGTTTTCGGGTCAAGTTTGGGTCAAACTTGAAACTAAGTCGCCTTCAACTGATCTGACTTGATTAGACAAACATGTTAGAAATTCAGACCCAGACTCAACCTGTCGGGTTCCCGGGTTGACCTTGTAATAACTCATATTTTCATCCAGCAAAATAAATTTAGTCATTATAACTCTAAATTATAAACCGTCTATGTCATAACATATATATTGTTGTGTTTTAATTACACTAATTTTTAGATAATGTTTAGGAATTGACATAAATTTTTAAAAATTTGATATTTGTCAGTATAAGTGGGGGTTTTGGGACGGTTAGGTATTCTTTTTGCAAATTGATTTCACAAAAAATATTTAAATATGATGGATTACTTTATAAATATTTTTATGTAATTTTTAAAGCTCTTGATTTGAAGATATAAGAGAATTTATAAATTTAATACTGAAAACTATATATATTATATTATTATTTTATTATAAAAAATCTAATTCCTCTATTATTTTAGCCATTTTCCATTTTTCCAATTTTGAAATTGAAACCAATGTCATGATATTTTGAGAAGAATAGAGAGGAGAGAGATAATAGAAGTTAGGATTTGGAGGCCATGAAACAAGTTTTGTCAATCGATGTTGTTAAGAGATTTGCTTGTCTCATTGTAAGGAATTATTATACCTTTTTTTTAAGATTCTATACTTTTATATTTAATGTATTTTAATTTAGTCAGAATTTGTAAAATCTATGATATCATAATTTTTAGCAAACTTTTACTCCATAGCTTTTGGTATATAATAGATGTCGATAATATGACCATCTGTAATATTATTAAATTTCATCAACAACAACATCAAGCCTTTGTCCCACTACATGGATTCGACAACATGAATCCTTTTTCTCCATCTGTAATATTAAAAGTCAAATTCTTATTTAAATTTAATAAAGAAAGATCATTTCTAATATTTTCAAAACAAGTCTTTTTAGGTCTACCTCAACATTTCTTAATATAAGTCATATCAATACCTCAACTTTTCTAATTGGTCATCGAAAGGCTTCTGTTTAATGTGACTGAACCATTTAAGGTGACTCTCTCTAATCTTATCTTTCATTGGAGTTGTAATACCCCACGGTACCCCTAAATAGTACCATTGAGTGCATCACATAAACATTTATCCTTTCATTAACATTTTATACAACTTTTCTTTTTAGAAGCTCATATAAAACATCCAACCATAAGTCCATTTATACATCAACGGAAGCATCTTCCAAAATTAAAACTTCAATAAATACATTTACAGAGCTACTAAAGAAGTCCAAACAAACTCAAAGTAGTACAACATGTAATTTGCTTACTAACCTCAAAAGTATATTTCAAACATAGAATAAGCATTAACATGTAATGTAAATACTTGCAGATTAATCTTCTCCCACTTTGCACTTTCCCTTTCTTGTAACAACAGCCAGTAATAAACTACTGGTGAGCTATGAGACTCCATAAGTGATGCAAATTTAAATAGCATTTAAATTTCATGATTATAAAAATTCATAACATTGAAAACATAAATAAAAAACTACATGAGCAAGCTTCATAAATTCTCATTTGATATTATCCTGAAATTCTTCTTACATCCATATTGAATATTAATTTTACTCAATAAAATATTTGGCTACTCATTCATAAACATATTCAATGGAGCCCAGGTAAACCTGGTATTATCGCCATTGAATTGCATAGATGTCCATTTTGCCTCTTTGGGGTCCCTTTTGACCCATCTGCTTTGCATGTTTCATTTCTTTGGGGTCCCTTTTGCACCACTTACCAAATAGTTTAATATATGAGGACCCTTTTGCCCCACCTACATTGGTAAGTTATACATAAATCTTTAGCCAAATTTTACTTTTAAATTGATATTCAGTACACCATCCATATTCATTATCCATACTAGACTTGCTGCATGCTTTTTATTCATTCATTGCATAACATGAATATGCACATAATACGTAAAGAAAATGATCTCTTTTTAAAAAATTATCAATTAGAAAAATATTTAAATGAACATAATACACCTTGATTTAAACTCACATAATTAATTTATGTAAGTGGTTAATCATAATTGAAAACTTGTAAGTATATTCTTTTCTAGGCCTTTCACAAAAGGTTGATCAAACATGCATAAAATCAAATCATTTACTTTCATGACTATTTTCCAAAGTGTCATTATAAACATTGTTCATATCTAATGATAAGATATATATTTCTTAAAAATACTTGCATCACTTACTTCCTTGTCCAGTCGTCTCTTCTAATTCTCTGCTTCGCACCCTTCTACGATTGTATGTCACCTCGAAACTTTCTCTTTGCATAAGACCAATAAAACCTATAACACAATTAGATCCAACATCTTTAAAGACTTTCACTACTATTTTTAGAAATCCATCTAACAACCATGCACAAACCAAAATGATTTACCTATTTTCTCCTCTCAGAATCTTCTTTCTTATCCATCTTTCCTCAATTTCTCTTCTTCTTTCTTCTGCTTAATCCCTCCCCTGTTTATTACCTCATATAATATATTTTGCTGATTTCTTTTACTGCCAGAACTACTCCCATGCACTGTACAGAATTTCTCTTCTAAATAATCATGAATTTCTCCAGCTGATTTCTTCCTGTGAAGAATTCCTACTATAGAACTCTATTCCAATCCCTCATGCATTACACTGTGCTGCCTGGAGAAATCCCTCCATGCTGAATTCCCATTGTGTAGAAGACTTCTACAGCCCTGTAGCAAAGTTATCTACTGAAATCTGACTCAATTCCTTCGGTTAATCATATAATTCCCTCAAATGATGCTTCCCAACGTTTCCTTTCCTGACAATAAATGGTCTCACTCACATAACTGTCATGCTTTACTGCCTATAGCAGGTATCTCATCGGAATTCTCTTCAGAATAAAGAGAATGCTTAAATTACCTAATGTTAATGTGAAGGGGTGCAGCCAAGGGATGTTTTCCTTGCTTTGCTTGATTTCATTTAATATAACCTTAATATTTAGTATTAAAGTTATTATTTAACTAATGATAATTAAATGTTAATACTAATTTCACATTAATTTAATCTTAAACTTTAAAATAATTTTTCAGATATAATTAATTCATTTTAATTTTTCATGCCTAATAATTTT